GTAAATGATAATCTACCTTAACCAAAATCAAAGTAGACTATCACTCACCCACACCAGATGGAAAACTCTACAGACTGTCGGAGCTGCCCGGTAAACCGTAGGCAGAGAGGGAGAAGAGGACAACAAACGAGGGGCTGTGGCAAACTGTTTCGTCGGAGTTTCACCGACTCATCAGGAGGCTGAACCCTCAACAGTCTGCAGAATCCCCTAACTGATTACACTGTAAGTGATAATCCACCTTAACCCATATATTGTCACATAACTATGAAGTTAGTAAAAGAGCGCACTTTGTGAAACAAACAACAAAAATAGAAAAAATAAAAACAAGACAAATGAAATGAGACTTGTCGCTACTCGAGTTAGTAAAAGAGCGCACTTTGTGAAACAAACAACAAAAATAGAAAAATTAAAAACAAGACAAATGAAATGAGACTTGTCGCAACTCACTTTCAACATGCACGCAAACCGATGACGAATATGAACTGGCACGACGCGCCCACACAAAACTCAGAGATAAGATCGTGGCCAGGAACACAGATCAGATTCAAACTTGTCTTGAATGGCTATGGCACTCAGCGCCTGACAAAGCTTCCCACCCGATCAACTGTATCCACCAGCAACTTGTTCGCACGCACACACACACACACACACACACACACACACACACACTAACTAACTAACTAACTAACTAACTAACTAACTAACTAGGATCACCCTGAATGTCCCACACGCATACACACACACACACACACACACTGAAAGTCCGACGAAACAGTCTGGTACAGTCATGCTTTTTTTTAGTGTATAGCGAATATGACAACACACACACACACACAACTCCTATCACCAACCTACATGGCAGCTATGGCTGCCGTCTCTCCTACTAACTCGCAACTATGGCCGCTTCTTTCTCCTCTTAGCCCTCTTCTTCCTTGGGCACCTGCAGACCTCACAACTCCTATCACTAACCTACGTGGCAGCTATGGCTGCCGTCTCTCTCCTACTAGCTCACAACTATGGCCGCTTCTTCCTCCTCTTAGCCCTCTTCTTCCTCGGGCACATGCAGACCTCCGATGCACAAGAAGCACAAGCAGCACTTCCGCATGGCTCACAGGCAGAATGACTGAATGACTTGACGCTGCCTCTTTATTTAAACTTCGGATCGTCGGTGGTCTGGCCTCTGACCCTGGGCCCGGGATGTACACAGTCCCACATGATACTTGCTGACTAGACTAGGTTAGACCGGGACTGGGTACCGCTGACTAGATGAAGTCGGACTGGGACTGACCTTTGCTGACTGTACTAGGACTGCCCCTCGCTGACTCATCTAAGGACTAACCCCTACAACCTACGAAGAGCCAGCTTAGACTGGTCCAGAAGGTCCTAGACTTGACCTTCCGGAACTATAGCCGCTACTACCTAAGTTGACCTTACGACGACTAAAACTGAGGTCTACGGATCGAGTCCACGCGGCCGACTATGAACAGCAGTCAGAACATACGACTTTTAGGGGATAGGTCGCGGGTTCAAACACACAGGGTTAAACGGGTACTGTACATGGCAAGGGAAGGTCTAGGGATCGAGCCCTGGGACTGCATCTGTCACCGGTGTAGGTGACCGTTTCACAAACGTGAAGGGCACACTGAAACCATTCATTTTTCTCATTCTTCTTTTAACTCCCCTTTCACCGTGCCTCTCACGTACAAGTATATACGTACACGAATGCAAAAGATTTTCATAACAACACACAAAGCGTCAAACAGCCATCGACGAGAGTCGCGTCCCTTTCCAGACTGAAGGAATACAGGCATTAAAACAAAAACAAAAACAAAAAACAGATAGCGACAAACAGAAGACATAAAGGACATGCTTCTCCATGATCCACATACCTTGGGCCCAAAATAATTGAAGATCATATCATACGGTTGAGATGTGAACTTCCAAAAACTTAACGGCCATTTACGAAGGAGCTCTCGTCGTGCCTTCTGGCCTGGCAAGAATGGATTACAGTCATTACATACACGGCACAGACAAAAAAAAAAAAAAAAAAAAAAAAAAAAAAGTTTTAAAAAAAAAAAAAAAAAAAAAAAAAAAAAAAAAACAAGCCACAGCAAAGTTGAGCAAACCCAAAGGAAGGAGCGAACGGTGTCATGGAGTTTTTATGAACGACATTTGA